GATTTGCAGGACATTTCAGCACAGCTCAGCACTATATATTTTGGCAAAATGTGCTATTTCAGGACATTCTGAGCCATAGACAGCAGAAAACAGGTCCTTAAATTCAATTCCCAGTCTGTGTCGTTCACTGAAACCAGCTAAAGTAGTGGCAGGAATTTTAAAACAGGCCTCAGTATTTCTGGGTTCACGCAGGAAAGCTGTTCAAGATTTATCACTCCACAATAAGTATCCAGTAATTCCTTACCGGGCATCTCTATGGATAGCATAGGGTGCCAGTATTGAGCATGACTTCCAAATGCCTGTCAGGAATCATGATCAAAGTTTCTTTGTGACAACAGACCATTGCTGTAAGGTGTCAGAGGGTGAGCCAGGAACAATGCAGGTAATACATTTAAGAGAGGAGGCAAGATAATTGGAATGAGAGAGACTCTGTATGTGGGCTAAAAGGAAAATCCCAAGGTCATTGCATTGAGTGAAATTTCTTGTCATTCAAAGGCCAGACTAAAAGAACTGAGGAAGGATTTCCAGTATCAATGTTTAGTGTTGATACATTGAGAAATCGCGATTTCTCTCAGGAATTTGGAATGGCAGCGTGATTAGAAATGGGTAGTAACGTTCATTCTAAGCCGCGAGGCTGCAAGTGTGCAGCCATTCCAAGGTTCCTGCTCAGTGACTGGAACATTGATTTCTGGCCTCAGCCGCAAAGAAAATGAGAGGCAATGCTGGTGGTTGGCTGAAGATCCATGAGATGCATCGAGAGCAAATTGGTACTTTCGTTAACCTGGGGGGAATTTATCTTCCTATTGTGATTCATTCGGAAAAAGTTAAAAATCACTCAGCAAAAAGCCCTCTCATTTCTATATAGAGTAGGCTTTAGTTACTGAAGTACATAGGATTTAAGTGTCCAAAGTACACATGATTCCATCATAATATTAAGATATTATCTTTAAATATGAAAATGGCCCAATGCATTTTACAAAAATTGGATATATGACTAATCACAAATAGTTGTACATGAACTCTATAGAGGTATTCCTTGGAAAGGTTAGAATTGATCAGTGTGATAAGGTGTAGCATTTTTCTGCACTGAATACTAAGTTTTCAAGCTGGCCAGCAGACCATCAGGTAGGATCATTACAAGATGTTGGTAAACAGGGCCAGTAATGATGGACAGACATTCATAGAATCATAGAATCCCTACAGTGTGGAAACAGGCCCTTTGACCCAACAAGTCCACACCGACCCATCCCCCTGTAACCCACCTAATCTCCACATCCCTGAACACTACGGGCAATTTAGCATGGCCAATCCACCTAGCCTGCACATCTTTGGGCTGTGGGAGGAAACCGGAGCACCCAGAGGAAACCCACGCAGACACAGGGAGAATGTGCAAACTCCACACAGACAGTCGCCCGAGGGTGGAATGGAACCCGGGCCCCTGGCACTGTGAGGCAGCATTGTGTACTGGAGTCAGAAATAAGTGACAAATAAAATCGCTTTCCATTTGAAGTAAGCTTACAAAAAGTGCAGGGTTGATTTAGCACAAGAGGGCACATGGTGGGCAAGAGGAACTGTGGCTGAATGAACATATTATTGAGTCTTATCTGTGGCAGATTTCAACAGAGAAAGAGGAGAAAAGCAGACCTGACCAAAACACCCTCTCTAATCTTCCACTGGTCTGCTGTTGGTCCTCAGCTCGATTCAGAATTGAATACAATTTTTAAAAATAGCTGTGAGAAGTACTGGTTGAAGTGTCATACAATGGGAGTTGGAACTGAGTTGGTAAAATAAGGAAACTGATTTTATTTTGTGTATTAACCAACACACCCTTTAGGACCCTTGTAGATTTAAACAGTACATTGTCCCAGGAGTGGATTTTAGAAGGCATTCCGAGCGCCAGTTTACCCTCAGAGTCAGAAACATACTCCAATATTTAAGCTGACAATAAGGTGACATGCCAGTGCATATTGCAGTGGTTCGGATGGTATTGCAAATCACAGGGTATTCAACAAAGCGCAGGAGGGGGTGTTCCTGCCAACATTCCTCTCACCAATTACATCCAAACAGATATAGCCTAGCTGCTGTCCTTACTGCACACAAATTTACTTCCACATTTACCCCCATGACAATGGTACTGGCAGGTGTGATAATTTCACTGTGTATTGTCAGAGGTTCACAGACCAGCCAATATATTTTAGACAAGAAGGCATGAGCTGACAGGGAAAAGGACAATTTATTATCAAAAGATGTACTGAACAAAAAGCAGCAACTGGTATGTCAGTATACCTTTAAGAGATATACTCATGACATCATCACTGTATCATAGCATGTGACCTGACAGTGGAAAGATCTCAGACTCTACCATACCTTGGGTCACTTGCTGTAAGTCTCAAACACCCGGTCTGGAAACAGCCATAAGGCAGTAAGGAGTACAGTACAGTTTTACCTCCCATTCCATGCCATTTAAAGCCAGAGCCTCTCAAGAGTTTATGACTACTGCCTCTGGCATTGGTATTAAAGAAGTCATTAAAGTATCATTGCAAGGCTGCCATCTTCTGTCGCCCAACCCAACTCCTCATTAGTTACCTTGCCAATGGCTACACTGATCCAAGTTTGTCTCCCCACAGCTTGCTTTCTGGATTTACATGAGAATGCAGTCTCCAAATCACCAGAACTCCAAAAGTCAGTCACTCAAAAGTTAGAAGTGCTCAGCAGACCAGGTTCTAGAAACTGATGGTTTTGTGAGCCCATGATTTTACCATCAGAATATGGCAACTGGTCTTCTTGATCAGAAGTAAAATTAGATCTGGAGTGATGTGTCATGCCTCATGCTTAGTATGTCAGTATGTCTTTAAGAATTGACCACGACATCCTCACTGTATCGCAGCATGTGACTTGAGGGTATAAAGATCTCAGACTCCACTGTACCTCAGATCACTTGGTGCATGACACTCGATGGAGGCATGTTCCTCTGATTTTAACCCAATGGCTTCAAATTGACCCAGCCATTTATTTGGGCGAGAAATGTAATGTTCGTGCATAATAACTTTAATAATTGTCTGTTGGATTCTCCAATACCACAATAACCACATCCAGTTTTTTATTTTAAGGAAATGAAATGAGCATGGCCATATTGGGTAAAGCACACTGCTGGGGACAAACTCACACCAGTTTAGGCCCAGTGCACTTATGGAGGGCCTGGCTGAATTTTACCGTGGCCACCAGAAATCCAACATGGTACCAAATGGGAGGGTCCCTCATCCGCAACTTGCTCAATAATATTACTGGGAGCGGTCTAATTGGTCGTCTCTGACTCACCATCCAATGAAAGAGAATGGGTGGGTTGGAGATGCTGCCGGGCCAATCAGAGGACCAGCAGTTCTGAAGTCTGGTGCCAGGGGAAATCCTGTCCCTGATATTACTGCTCCTCTGCCCCTTCCTAGAATAACAGGCTGCAGCCCTCCATCACCTTCCTGTTTCTCCCCATACCATTTGCTTCCTCTCTCTCAACCCCGTTCGTCCCTTTCACAAAATGCTCATTGATTTCCCAAAACAGAGCCTTCAGCAGCTTAGATGCAAAAGGGGAAAAAAAAGTCTTGCTCCATAAACTCAGCAAGGGAGACCAACTAAAAAATAAACATTGAGTAGATCAGAAACTTCATTGAATCGGAGCCTGGAGGCTGTAACTCTCCCTGGTGGAGGATGCTATCCAAAGAAGTCATGTTTTAAATTTGACTGCCTTCACAAAGCTGGTAGTGTGGTAATCTGGATGTTAGACAATAATGCAAAGGAGTGACATTGTGCCTGCTTCACATTATCCCTCAGTCAGGGTGGATGTATAAAGGGAGTTAGCACCTCCCCCACCCTGCCGACTGCTCACTTTTCACATTGCCCCTACCACAAAGCAGTGCCAGGCATTAATGATGAAAATTATTGGGTGATCTGTTTTTGCCATTAACGCTGAATGGGAATCTGCCCACTCTGCCCCTGTTCCTGTGGAAAATTCCTGGAAAAGAGGTCAGAGAGCCAGTGGGAAACATCCCACTCTTATCCAACTTGAAAAGTGGGGAAAATGCAGGCCAGCCAAGTCTGTAGCTGATGTAGCACATTCCCCAGCCAATATATTGAACATTACGATGGCTAAAACGCTGTCTGCCCATCACCTACTGACCTACTTCAAACCTTTAGTGCCCATTAAGTAGTTGATAAAAAGCTTTAAAAGCATAATGGTTATTAATTGGTTGTCAAATCAGTGCACAACAGCTTGTCAGCACTGAAATGCTGGTAACAGATGACAAGCTATAACAGGAGTTGCTGATTTCCAAAAGTAAGTGAGCTGCCTAGTCATGGTTGAGAACTGTGCACTTCTCCAGTCTGGTGCAGAGGATCTTGGTTTATATTCTTCTGATAGACATGTAGCTCTTTCAAAATAGGCATCGGTCCAAATCTTTCATCTCCGGATTTTCGGAGACCAGACCCATGCATGAAGATGCAATTGGGAATGTTGTGTTATAGCACAGATTGCAGACCAAACAGGAAGCGTTTATAGTTGTACAGTTACCTTGCACAGTTACATGTCATTACAACATGTGACATTCCAGTTTAAAAGTCCCAGACGCACCTTCAGTCACAGTGTGATGAAGTTCTGCAATCAGTCAGCCACGTGTCTAATGGACAGTAACATTAGCAATCCCACAGCAACCAGACTGTGTGTGTAAGTCTGTGATACTGTAGCCTTGTAACAGTTCACATAACAAAACAGTTCTTAAGAAGGCTCACATTAATTCTGCTCTTTCCAGCAATTCCTGTTTTTGTTGTCGATGGCGACTAATGTGTTAGACATCAAAACCATGTTCTTTTACTTTTTAACTTCTAGACAACTCAATCTGAGGTCCAGTGTGCTCGGCCTTATTTAAGTTGAATATCCCACAATGAGTATCTTATACAGTGTTCTATTTTTATGCTGTAAAATGAGAAATAGTGAACAGTTTGAACCTTACCTTGTAACTTGCTGGGTGACAAGGCACTTGGCTGCATGGGTGAGCTATTATGGGGTGTCACAGGGGTTACTGTATGGGGTTGCTGAGTGCCATATGCATCCATTGCTAATTTGTGCCGAAAGGCCTCTTCTTTCCTACGGTTTGCAAACCAGTTGTACACCCGCACCTCAGTCACAAGATTAGAGCCCAGGCCATGGGCTTGTGATGGAGAAACCCCTCGCTGTATACACTCTGCTCTGCAACAAACATAGACATGAAATGTGTAGGAAGTCAATTTAAATTCAATTCATTAATTCTTTACCCCTAAGAATCAGTGCATAATTGGCAACTTCACAGAATCTCTACAGTGTAGAAACAGGCCATTTGGCCCATTGAGTCCACACCTAATCTCCCAAGACCATACGCCCCACCACCCTATTCCTGTGACCCCACATATCCCATGGCTAACCCACCTAGGCTGGACACTATGGGGCAATTTGGCATGGCCAATCCACTCTAACCTGCACATCTTTGGACTGTGGAAGGAAACCCACACAGACACAGGGAGAATGTGCAAACTCCACACAGACAGTCGCCCGAGGCTGGAATTGAACCCAGGACCTGGCTCTGTGAGGCGGCAGTGCTAACAAGTGAGCCACTGTGCTGCGCCTTGTAAACTTTTCATTGTACTCACGTGAGTGAATGTGACAAAAAAGCTAATTCTAATTCTAATTCTAATTCAATCAGTTAGCAGGCAGCATTTTCACAAGGTAGACTCCTTTCCAGACAAGTCACACCTTTCTAAAGTTACCCAAATTCATACAAAGAATTCACATTTTAAAAATCTTCAATTGTGGATCAAAGAAGGTTTTGTCCATCTATATATTGTCATAAATGTTAACTCCCTTTGCCAGGCTAAAAATCAAACAAAACTTTTATCTTCACCAAATAAGTGCTTTAAAAATAAAACTCATCTTCTTAAAAACAAAATGAAATCCTACTCTGAGCCAGTTCTGTTACATGTTGCAATAATTAGCTTTTCTGACGATAGCCCACAGTAGCACCGGTGACAACCACAAATTTGCACTTACGTAGCACCAGTAATAATAGCACAATATCCAAAGGCATTTTCAAAATTTGACACTAAGCAATGTAAGGCAATATTCTGATTGACTTGGTTAATAAAGTAGATTTTTAAGAGTGTCTTAAAAAGAAGAAAGAGAGATAAGAATTGGGGGTGGCAAATTCAGGAGGACATCCAGAGGTAAGTGCCTAAATAATGGAAGATATATCTGCCAATGGTGCAGTGATTAAATTAGGTGGCACGGTGACTCAGTGGTTGGCACTGCTGCCTCACAGCGCCAGGGTCCCGGGTTTGATTGCAGCCTCAGGCGACTGTCTGCCTGGAGTTTGCATATTATGTCTGCGTGGATTACCTCCGGGTGCTCCGGTTTCCTCCCACAGTCCAAAGGCGTGCAGGCTAGGTGGATTGGCCATGCTAAATTGCCCGTAGTGTCCAGGGATGTGTAGATTAGGGGGATGAGTCTGGGTGGGATGCTGTGAGAGTCAGTGTGGACTTGTTGGGCCAAAGGGCCTGTTTCCACACAGTAGGGATCCTATTAAAAAAAAACCAGGGGTGCGCAGAAGGAGGTGTAGGACTGGAAGAACAGGGAAGATAGAGGCTATGAGATGATTTGAAAACATGCTCGATAATTTTAAAAGCAATGCGGTGCCTGACCCAATGTAGTTTAGCAGTTACAGGGGTGGTTGTGAACGGGACTCCATCAGAAGCAAGGTACGACTTCAGAGGTTTAGATGGTTTCAAGTTCATTAGGTGGGAGACCATTGAGGTCCAAAATAAATAGGGAATAGTCTGTGAAAAACTGATGTTATGAGAAGAGTCAGTACAATGAATCCTAATTATTCCAATCTTAAGATTTTTACTCGTTGTTCCTATGAACTGTTTTGGGCTATTTTCTGTTTAGGAACATGGGTTTTAGTAACACACTCATTGCTGATAACATTTAATTCGAAAGGTCAATGTATGTCATTGACAGGGTGGCATGGTGGTTCAGTGGTTAGCACTGCTGCCTCACAGCGCCAGGGACCCGAGTTCAATTCCACCCTCGGGAGACTGTCTGTATGGAGTTTGCACATTCTCCCTGTGTCTGCGTGGGTTTCCTCCGGGTGCTCCGGTTTCCTCCCACAGTCCAAAGATGTGCAGGCTAGGTGGATTGGCCATGCTAAATTGCCCGTAGTGTTCAGGGATGTGTGGATTAGGTGGGTAATAGTGGGATGGTTCTGGGTGGGATGCACTGAGGTTCGGTGTGGACTTGTTGGGCTGAAGGGCCTGTTTCCACACTGTAGGGATTCTATAACAAAAAAAGCAGCAAAGGTACTAGCCGGGCATTTAATAACAAATGAGGGTGAGGTGTTGTGGGGGAGAGATTGGTGGAAATAGGCAGTCTTCGTGGTGGTGATGGTGATGACAAGCTCAAGACCTCATTCTGGGGTCATACAGGGTGCCAAGGTGTTGATCAGCTTGAGACAGAGATCAGGAGAGGGGCCGGGGAGACATATTGAGGTGGATGCAGTTTGGGTCAACAAGGACTTTGATCTTTCCAACATTTAAAAGAATCTTAATTTATTTGAGCGCTTTGGTCGATTTTTCTGGTGAAAACACCAGAAATGAGACAAGAGGCTGTTCGCCTGGGTGGGGCAGCTTTGGGTGGGAGGAGATGTGATGAAAACTGAAGAAATGCCCAGATTTGGTGACTGAAGAATCATACAGGCATGAGACAAATCCAGTCAGTGTGACAGATTACACGGGTACAGATTAAGGCAGCCTGACAGAGCCTGTAACATTATTTCTGCAAATGTACACCATACATGCCCCCATTTTGTGTCACTTGCAGATGCAGCTGTTTCAGATTTAGAATACATGCAACAGTAAGTTGAACAATAAGCAGTTCTCTGTGTTACTATAATCAGAGAGCTCATTCCTGTGTACGTTTGTGTGTTTGGCTCTCACTGTATACCAGACTGGATACAATTCTCGCTGATAGAAACTACTTGGTGGCAATTGTAAATGGCAAGACCTGGTAAGTAGCTGAGGCGAATCCTCTGAACTAATGAATTAAATCTTCATTTGCTGACTTATATGTGTGGCATTTGTAACGTGTCTGTCCTGAAATTTCTGATAGGGAAAAAAGATGGGAGAGCAGCTGCTATCCAGGTGGTCATTCCTTCTGTAGCACCTTTAGATATCTAGGGAGAGGGCTTTCCCAATTGGACAGGGTATATAAAAAACATTGGGTCCTTTATTTTCTTGCTTTTAGTATTTTCCTTTTTTCTAAAACTATTGGAAATGGGGTAAGGGAGTTGCTGGATCTAGCAGCAGTGTAACCTCCAGGGAGTTGTGCAACCAAAAAGTTAGGTCCCCGACACTATTTACAATTGCTATTTATTAACCTGGAATTGTATTTCTAGCTGCATATTTAATCTTATGGTGTCACCTTAACTAAGCACCAGCCACTTCCAGCCTGACACCCACTTCAAGCATGTCATGTTTCCCAATCATTCATGACTGGCAAAAAGGGGATGCAGAGGTGAAATCAAGGCTTCAGAAATGGCGCAAATGCCTCCCAAGCACCTACAGGCCCGACACTCCCATCCCACTGACGAGGCTTTAGCCCAATTCGCTTCCAACAACCTGCCCCAAAAACTCTGTTCACATTTTAAAAACTATGACAAATTCCACCACAGCAGCTGTGACAGTGCACAATGTTCTAAAGAAAATCAATTCACCTCATCTCTCATCATCAACAGAGCCTTTAAAAAGAAAATCCAGGAACCAGATCCATAAATTCACCAAAAACACCACACCCTGTCTATGTATGAAGCTCTGTTGAAAGCTATCAGTTCGTTTTTGAGCTACGTTGTTTACAAACAGGATATCAGGGTGTTAACATTGGGTACCGAAAGCATTGTGTTAGTTTATTTTCTGATATTAGGCTAAAAGTAGGGCATTTTATTTACCCAGGGCCAGCAAAATGCTGCAATTAAAAGTTACTGTTTCAGTTGGTGTTGTTTCAGTCAGGCTGACTCAGAGCACTGCCCTGTGCTCACCAACCTACACTGGTTTACAGATCCCCACACCTCCAATTTAAGAATCACATTCTTGTTTTCAAATCCTTCTGTACCCCTTCCCATTTCTATAAACTCCTCCAGCCCTAAAATCCTCCTTGAACACAGAGGTTCAATGAATCAATGAACTGATGAGTTAGTGACTGTGGAATTGTGCCACATGCCATGTTGGTGACACAAGCAGCAATGTAAAATTTGCACTGTATGCTCATCTTGATTGAGGATCACGGGCCAGTGTTTAACACAATGCTGAATGACTGTGAGCTCAGGGGGAAGTGGGTGGGGGGCAAGGCCTGTGCGAGACCACAGGAATTAAAGGGAAGGTGCATGCTGTTTGTTGCAGATGCTCAAAGTGGCTCAGAAAGACTTATCAAAAAATAATGTTAGGCCAATGGAGTAGCAGGCCAGAGTGAGGCCTCCCAGATTCTAAGATGGAGCCCCTGGAGATGTTATGAGTGCAGAGGTGGAAAGCAGAGAGAAGTCACCTTTACCCAGATCCCAACTGGAGCAGAAAGCCACCGAGGACCATGAGAGGTGTCTTGCCCTAGGCACTTGGATAAACGGTTGGAAAACATTCAAAGACCTTACACAAATGATCGAGGCCAGTGAATGCATCCACAAATGCCATCTCCCAAACATCACATCACATCAACTTCACACACTCATAACTTAGCCATCAACTATTCTGAGCAATCTAAACATATCTAACATTCGTAGGCTGCTCCTTACACTCTCACACTTAGCCTGGCTGCTAGCCTCACACCCACATCTTCCACATACTTTCAGCCATTCAGTTCCAATAAGCACTTCACACAAACATGGCAAGACACTCACTGATCATCTTCCATCTCTCTTTCAGGACACAGTAGCACATATGAGGAAGAAGCAGCAAAGAACCAGCAGGGCGCATGCCCTCAGCATCTGGCTGAGATGGGGGTGGAAGAAGCAATCACACAAGATCCTGGCCCAGTTATTGTTTCTGTTGAGGACCCCCCACCACCTCCTCCTGGGATTTCCCTCTCTGCTGCCTCTGCTTCACCTTCATGACAAACAAGGGAGTCTGCAACTCCAGCCCGGTGACTAGCAGTTAGCAGTGTGCTCTGAAACCTTT